TTTAAAAAACCCAACTGTAAAGAACAGCCAATAAGTTGAAAACCAGAGACCCCCGACCCTCACTAGCCCCGCTTTCCCACTGGACTTCATCTTGACGTCGGTAAGACCTCCTTCTCGTCTCCACACACGCCGCATCGTGTCACACATCCTGTCCCCCCTGCTGATGCGGTACATCCTGGACACCTTTCCACACCCACACAGCTGGGGCCACCTCCCTCTTCTTAGCAGCTGAAATGTATTCCACAGTGTGGAGGTACGGTGACTCATTTAAACAGCCCCTTTTGGATGGGCACATGTTTCCAGTTTTTGCTATTTCAAAGAATACTGTACCGAACAGCCTTTTGCTTGTGCCTTTGCATATTTATTGGGAGTTTATCAGCAGAATAAATTTCCGGCAGGGGGCCAAGGGGCTCGTGCAAGTTCACATTGAACAGACATGGCCAAACGACCCTGCAGAAAGGCCGGGTCCTCCTACCGTCCTCCCACCAGCCCAGGGAAGTGCCTGTCTCCCCACCCCCCAGTGTCAGATGACCTTTAGCTCCTGGACAAACTCGTGAGTGAAAAACCAGACCTCATTTTTACTTGAATTTTTTAATTTTTAATGAGGTTGGACGGCTTTCAGGTGTGTTTCCCATCTGCATTTCTCTTTCCTGCGAGCTGCCTCTTCGTACACTTTGTACACTTTGTAGGACTGTTCTTTCCTTGTTTCCTTTCAACAGTATTTTAGCGCCTACTCTGTGCTGGATGCTGTGTTTGCATAACAGCATGAAGTACGCCCGCACCCTGGCGGGCAGGGCAGGCAACCAAGAGTCCCCACATGGGGCCTTCCAGAGACCAGAGTCACCAAGCCTTGAGTCTTGTGAGACCTGAAGCACCAGATTATAAATAGACTGGGTCTCCACCTCCTGATCAGTACAATGGAAAATCACAGTAATTCCTGTCAGCTAAAAAAAAAAAAAAAAAAAGAACACAAAACCATCTAACCATCTAAGTCAGAGTCATTTCAGGTGCAAGTGACAGGAAATCAAAATGGGCATAAACAAGAAAAAAAGCATGCTGGCTCATGTGACTGGAAGCTTGGGCTTTGGGCACGGCCGGTCCCGGTTGGTGCTCAAATGACATCGTCAAGCCTCGTCCGTCTCCATCCTTCAGCTCTGCTTCCCCTGAGTCAGGTTCAGTCTTGACCCAGATGAACTCAGATGACCCTCTGCAGCTCGGGATGCACATCCTGTTGGTTCAGCAACCCACGAAGAGTGACCACTTCCCAGGAGCTCCAGAAAAAAGGAACAGAGATTAGTTTCCATTGCTCAGGCTGGGTCATCTTTCCATCATCAAGCTAATCGCCGAGGTCTGAGCAATAGACGGCACAGATTGGCTGGGCCCAGGGGTGAAGGACGAGAATAAGTCGTGCATTCGGAGTAAGGCCTTGGCTGAGGATGGGAAACTTCAACTACCATTAGTGAAAAGAAAAAGAAAAGGCAGCTACGACACAGCTGCCCATGCACCGCATTCCGGCTTTGCCTCGGCCGCGTGGCCCCAGACAAGTCACAGCTCCTCTCCAGCCCTTTTGCTGATTACCTGTAAGATCTGGACACTAAACTCGATTCCTGACTTTGATACCTTTTATAGCAGCACAACTTCCTACTTTTCAGTCAATAATACAGGGAATCCAGCATAGAAGAGATCAAAGCTGTGTTTTAATAGAAATTTTGTTCAATCCCGTGTTAGTAGGGATAGATCGGGATTTGCTGGGCTAATAAAAAACCCGACATCTCGGTGGCTTCACACACGAGAGTCGCAGTTCCGTGCTGGTCGGGCAGCTCCTCTTGGTGGACCTCTAGCCACTCCCCCCGGTGACTCGCCCTCCCACCACCATCGTCTGCACCCACTTCTGCCCACGTCCCACCGGCCCCCAGCATTCAGCACGTGCCTCAATCCAAATGTAAGGGACTGTGGGAAATGTAAGCTTCCTCCACCAGGAAAAGGGAAATGATGCAAGTTTTGGTCCCTCTGCTGCCAATTCTGTAACATTTACTTATCCCAAAGTCAATCGCTGAGAACTCACAGTGAGGTTGTTTTAATGGATCAGAAAGAGTAAGAAGTTAGATATCATGGATAATATATGCAGCCCTGTTCCAATCTCAGCACTGACTTTTTGCAACCCTATCCCTTTTAAACTTGTAAATATCAAGAAAATCCCAGGTTGCAAGGAATCGGAGATGGAAATGCTAATGGTATTTAAAAGCTTGCTCTGCAATTCCAGTCTTCTCTCCAATCAAACAAACAGAGATGGGGGAGAAAACTCAGGGTCAAGTCTACTCACAGCTGAGGCACCAGGCAGATAAGAAGCTGCGCAGCCTCTCTCCAGGATGTTTGGACTTCGTCTGCACACATGTCTGAGGGTTCTTGTTGTGTTGTTTAAACAGTGTTGATCATAACCACAATGTTTGTGGAGGCCTCTGCTTTGGGCAGCCCGGTGCCAGGTGACCTTGGCTTGTGACAGACAGTCCATGTCCCCAAGTGTAGTCCTGCTGGGTGTCCACGGGGAAGATGCTTCATTCGTGAGGCCTCGCTTTTCTCAGCTGTCATAGGGATGGCTTAGCAAACTCAAGCAACTTGACCAAAGAAATTAAAATTAAAATAACAGGCCAAGGTGTGCCACATCTGTGACGCAATAGTTGCCTATAATTTAAACAACCTGCAAAGAGCATTAAATTGAAACAGAAGAAACTCTTGTTTTAACAGATAAAAAAATAGCAAAAAATAAGTAATTTTGCACATAATATAGTATGAAAACTGGCAGCCCATGGTCCTTTTCTAGCCCATAGATATGTTTTATTTTATAACACAAATCAAAATATTTTACATGAAAAACACATTTCTGATCTCTTTAAGAAAAAAGAACAGCTCTGTAGGAAATCATAGAAGAAAATCTAGGCAAAGACTTACTTCTTAGCTACATTAAAAGACTGACCCATAAAATGAAAAAGTTGATAAATTGAATGTCATCAAAATTAAGAATTTATGCTCCTTAAAAGACAGTTAAAACAATCAAAAGACTGCAAACTCGGGAGAACATGTTTGTAAGTCATATACCTGGTAGAGAACAATTGTATCCAGACCACATAAAGAACCTCAGGTCTTTGAAGCCACAGGTGATAGGATTCCATTTAAATGAAATGATTCAAAAAGGCAAATCCATAGAGACAGAAAGCAGATCAGTGGTTGCTTGCGGGGCCAGGGAGGGCCTGGGGCATGGTAACTGAAGGGTGCGAGGCTTCTTTCTGAGGTGATGAAAATGTTTTAAAGTTGGTGGTGGTGATGACTACGCAACTCTGGATATACTAAAAATCATGCATTGTACACTTTAAACGAGTAAATGTATGGTAAGCAAACTACATTTCAATAAAGCTGTTACCAAAAAAAGGAACCCTCAAATCTTAATAGTGAGAACACAAACCAAAACTGTAATGAGCAAAATATCTGAATAGACACCTCACCGGAGAAGATATATAGATGGTTAATAAGCACATGAAAAGATGCCCAACATAATTAGTCATTAGGAAATGCAATTAAAACCACAATGAAATAAGTTACACAGCTTTTTGATTGACCTTTTAAAAAAAATATTGACAACCCCAAGTGCTGACAGAGATAGAAACGAACTTTGATCAATCCTGGCAAGAATACAAAACGATACAGTCACTTTGAAAAACAATGTTGCAGTTTCATATAATGTTAAACCTACACTTGTCATATGGCCCAGCGATCTCACTTCTACATATTTACCCAAGTGAAATAAAAACCCACATTTAAAAAAAAAACCTCTCATAAATGTTTACAGAGACTTTATTTATAAACACTAAAAACTCGGAAATAGTCCTAATGTCCTCCAGTTGGGGAACGACAAAACGGTGACACATCCATCCAACGGGACACTACTCAGAAATAAAAGAAGTGAGTAACACACAGAGACGCAATTTAAATGCATAATGCCAACAAAAAGAAGCCAGGCTAAAAAGGCGACATGTTAGGATATTTCTATGACATTCTTGCAAAGACAAAATTATAAGGACAGAAAACATCAGTAGTATCTAGGCACGAAGGTGGGGAAAAGGGTCGCCTGCAAATGGAGAAATCTTGGAGGCACTAGGACTATCTTATATTTTGATTGTGGTCATGATTATACACCGTACATTTTTTGTCAAAACTCCCTGAATGTTCTATCAACACTGAGCCCACGATCCTGCAAAGCTGCCATCAACGGCCCCCTTTAGACACAGTATTTACTGTCCAGACCCCCCAAGTCCCTCCTGAGTCAGCTAGACTCATTCACCTACCTGAATCCAGGGGTAAGTGCTTGTCACCTCTGTTTACCCCACAGAATGAACAGAGAACAGCAAAGTATATTAACTAACTGCTAAAAACCAGAGATTTCCTGGCCAGGAGACTCTCCATGGTGCAAGCTTCCGGAATATTCTACTTCATCTCTAGTTTCCCTCCACATGGCGAACTTCTACTAATTCTTCAGGACCCTATGCCGAATGCCCTCTCTCCACTGAAGTCCCCTGCAGACCTTCCCTCCCCCTTGGACAGGGCCGCGGGTCCTCCCTGTCTCGCGGCATGGCTCAGACTGTCGGGACTGGCCTGGCCCAGAGCACTGCTGCAGAGACGATTAATAAGGTGCCTAACAAGAAAAACAGGGCCAAGCAAACCCACCGGGGATGAGCCAGTAAACCCAGAGGAGAACCAGAAAATAATTCCGAACCAGACGGAGGAAAGCTCTGAACGCCAAGTGGAGGATTTCCAACCTGACCCTGCGGGCCCCAGAGGTTCCCCCACACGTGAAAAGCCACTTTCCCCCTCAGCCTGGATGGCCGTCCCTCCTGACAGCCGTGTGACACTCCCTTCATCAGGGTCCCTGCTTAAACAGCCATCAGAGGAGCCCCCCCAGCCCCCCCACAGTGCAGCCGCCCCTCCACCCACTCCCTTTTCTCCACTGCACTCACCACCACCTCTACCCCCTACTACAATAGAAGGTCAAAGGCAGCAGGGACATTGTCCGCTGTCATGTCTTTGGTGCCAACAACCGAACCTGAGGCAGAGCAGGGGGTTAATAAAATATTTGTTGAATGAGTGAATCCCAATGCCACAGATGAAGAAAGGAGACCTGGCGGCTGGTAGGTGGAGGAGCCAGGAGGCAGACACAGAGCTCACGTCCACTTGACTTTACGGAAGGTTCTCCTGACCGGGACCCAGCGGAGGGGACCTCAGAGCACGGGCTGTGCGGTCAGAAGGACCGCGGCCTAAACCAGGGGCCCTTCGCCATTTTGGAATCATTGACCTTGGAGAATCTGCTGAAAGTGTCAGGCCCCTTACGCTGAGAGACGGACAGACGTGCCGACGTCAAACGTGTTGCAGGTGACTTCGAGGGGCTCACGGACACTCGCTGTTACCTTCCCTGGGCTCCCTGGCTGTGCGCCCTCTGAGCCGCCCCAGTCACCTCTCCCAGGTGCGGATAACGAGCCCAACTGACGGGGTTGGAGGAGGCTCCACGCAGGTCGACGTGACCACCTGGTGCCCCAGTATTGTCAGGCCCCAGGCCCCCTTTGCTACCTGAGCATCTGTGAGGACAGGGTGGGAACGGGCTCCTGAGACCCAGGTCCCAGGCCAGCTTGTGTGGCTCTCAGACCCTTATTTCCAGGAGGCTTTGTCACGCCACCAGGAAAATGAAATTATTGCTCATTGAACAGAATGCACCAAATGAGAGAGCAAACGCCCTCAGGAAACGCTAAAGCCCTGGAAACATTTCCCAAGACATCCCCTCCAAGTGCCGCAGATTGTTTTACTGTTTCAATTTCAGCTACAAAGAGCCTTCTGCAGTCCCCAGTCTGAGGAGTTCGAGGATAATGTGGGTCAAATCCTATTACCCCAAATCCTATTATACCACCACTTTCCTGTGTAGAAGGCTCCTCTCCTCACTGGATTAGGACCTCCCAGGGGAGGCCAGCGGACCTGCCTCTGTCCCCTGCCGGCCTCACACAGAGCCCGGCCCAGTGCAGGAACCCCATCTCCAAAGCATTCAGCTGCCGTCAAGAACGTCTTGTTAGGTTGGCATGATTTCTATTTAAATGGGATGCCAGCATTAAAAATTGAGAAAGTTCATAAACAAATTGATGTTTACAGAAAAGTAGAAGATGAGGTCAAGTTCCCACATTTGGAGACAGTCAGCTGGGAACGAACCGCAGCTGCCCCTTGTGTCCTCCAGCCCCACAGGCCCCGCAGCTCCTCTCCTGGCACCGCGTCGATGCCCATCTGCAGCCTGGAAGCAACAGGCGGGTGAGCCAGGCCCCGGATTTTACACTCTTGGAGCACTACAGAAAGCCCAGCCCCAGGGGCCATCTTGGTTAGCCCATTTCATAGATGAGAAAAGCGAGGCTCCTGGAGGCAAAGAAACACACCTAAGACCACAAAGCCAATAAGACATGGAATGGAGAGTTAACAATAAATTCCCCGAGACAGATTAAACCCTCTAACAATGGCTTCCATGTACTTAGAGCAAGAGTCACGGCAACCGCATTCTGGCACAAAGACACTGAGTCACACGTACCTGGTTTCGGATCTGGACTCTACCCTGTGCACCCACATGACTTCGCCTCGTCTGTTGCTGCATCAGGGAACGTGGAAACGTGGAATAGCTCGCTCACAGGGTTCATCACCAAGCCCTCGGAGAGCTTAGTCAATGAATCCAGGAAGGGCCACCCGACCCAAGGATAAAACAAGTCAAACAAATGTGGTTGGGGTCTGTTTTAGTTCTGAACGGAGTCTCCGAGAAGCTATAGAACCAAAGGCAGCTTCCTTACGAGCCAGGCAGTCATATTTGAAAAGAGGCCTAAAGAAGCTCTTCGGAGCATCCTCTCTGGCTGGAGTAGAGAGATGGGGGAAGGGTCATTCTCTGTGACTTACACCCACAGCAAAAACTCATTGGCTTTCCCCCAGCTTTGTCTTCTTCCTGCTGGCCACAGAACTAGGCCACACATTTCCCTGGTAGTTCTGTGTAGCCTAGTAACTGATTCTAGCCAAAGCAGTATGAACAGAAGCAATGCATGCCACTTCCCAGACTGCCCGTAACACCTTGGCCTGCATTCTCCTCCGAATTCTCCTCCTTCTGGGGCCTGAAGCAGAGGAGCCTGTGGAGGTCGAGCTTTGAAGAACGGTGGACCCACAAAATGGCAGGACCCCGAATCCCCTCATCACCGACTGAAGGAGAAACAGCAGCCATTCAGACACATCAGTGTTGAACAAAAATGAACTTTGACTTTATCTGATCCATTATCTACCTGGGGGATATTTGTTATAGAAGCAAGTACAGGCCTGCAGGAATGACACCAATACTCCTCTTGTGAAAGGAGGAAGCTAAGAGATCAACAACTCCCCCTCCGTATCGTTCATCGGTCACCATGCCACAGTCTTGTGGCTTATAAACCAAGCACAGAAATCTACGTCCTCGTAGTTCTGGAGGCTACAAGTCCAAGATCAAGGTATCAGGAGGTGTGGTTTCTTCTGGGCTTCTCCCCGTGGCTCGCTGGTGGCCTCCTCACAAGTGCCCTCGGTGAGGGCTTCCCTCTGGGTACACGTGTCTGGTGTCTGTCACAGTCTGTTGTCCTCGTTTCCTCTTCTTAAAAGGACACCAGTCATATAGGATTGGGGCCCACCCATATGGCCTTACTTTATCTCAAATACCTCTCTAAAGCCACATCTCCGAGAACAGTCCCATTCTAAGGGACAGTAGTCCCCCCTTAACTGCAGGGAACATATTCCAAGACGCCCATAGACACCTGAAACCAAGGAGAGCGCCGAATCCTAGATAAGCCAGGTTGTTCCATCGTCTGCCCACACGCACACACACCTATGATACAGTGTGAAGGCTTGTCCGTGTTACCTAAGCACTTGCCACCACTGTGGCCGCGACTTCTGTGGTTTCGGTGCCACAGCAACACTGGCACACGTGTCCTTTTCCTCTTCCCCATTTCGTGAGTAGATGATTCATTCTTACCACAGATCCTCGTGACCACAGCAATTTTTTTTCTTACCTTATGAAGTCAAGAACTTTCACCTTTTCATTCAAAGGAAACGCTCCCCGGCTTCTTTCCGGCGCATCCAAATTGCCAGCCCCACTGCTTCTGTACTTCGGGGACATCGTTAAGTAAAATAAGGGCTAGTTGAACACAAGCACCGCAATGTCACCACCGCTACGCTGACCGAGATGGCTACTCAGTGGCCACCAGGCAGGTAGAGTGCGCGAGGCATGCACACGCTGGAGGAAGGAATGACTTGCGACGCACGAGACACAGCGGGACGGCACGAGCTTTCATCGCACTGCTCAGAATGGTGCACGACTTAAAACCTGTTTGTTTCTAGAGTTTTCCACTTAATAATTTCAGACCATGCTTGGCTGCAAGTGACCGAAACCATGAAACAAAACCACAGATAAGAAGGGAGTACCATACTGGTGGGGTTAGGTCTTCAACATGCGAAATTTGGGAAACCACTTGATTTCAAGAATTATATAAAGCTACATAATCAAGACCGTGGTGCCAGCATCAAAGTAGCCGCATAGACAAGTGGAACCCAACAGAGTCAAGCAACTGACCGCACATGGATTTTTGACAAAGTTGCCAAGGACGTGCAATGGAGAAAATACAGCCTTCTCAACAAACGGTCCTGGAACAGTTGGGTCACGTCAGCAAAAAAACAAACTGGGAGCCACACCTGTCACCAGCTGTAAAAACCAACTCAAAACCAGGTCAGGAATCTAAACGTGAACCTAAAAGTATAAAACATCCAGGCGAAAACACAGGAAAAGGCCTTTGTAGCCTTGGGTCACACGGAGACTTCTCAAATCTACAACGAGAGTATGACCCATAAAGAACAAATCAATAAACTGGACTGCATCAAAAGTAAACTCTTCCACTCTCGGAAACCCACCTTTGAGACAATAAAACAACAAGCCACCCACACGGAGAAACCACTTGTGAAGCACACACCCGATGAAGGACTTAACGTCCAGAATAAACGAAGCCCTCTCAAAACTTAACAATAAGGAAACAACCCAATTTTTAAAAACCGGCAGAACACATGTGAACAGACTCTCAACCAAAGATCCACCGATGGCAAACAAGCAGGTAAACAGGAGTTCCACTCCCTTCGTCCGTTACAGAGAAATGCTCACTACAACCACAACTCGACACCACTGCACCCCCATCCGAATGAAGTGAGTTGAAAAGACTGACCTTGATCTTGTGCTGGCCGAGGTGCGAGGACCCGGGACTCCCGCGCTGGTGACGTCAGACATACACTTACCTTGACACACCCAGGCCGCCAGCTTCGCTGCCCTTGATCCAGCCATTCTTCTCGGAGGTGTTGACCTAAGAGAAAAGAAAAAAATATGTATGTGTGTGTATACGTATTATATGAAATTCAAAGACCTGAACACAAATGTGCATAGCAGCTTTGCTTGTAACAGCACAAAACCAGAAACAATACAAATGACTGTCAACAAATAAATTGTGATATACCCATTTAATGGCATACTATTCAGCAATTTAAAAATGAGCTATATATGTAAATAGCAATATGAATCTCGAAACAATTATGCTTCATGAAAGCTGAATAGGAGAGTCCGTACGACGTGACTCTGTCGGGAGCCCCAGGGCCTGCAAAGCTAAATCGCAGGGACACAAGTCGGACTGGCGTTCGCCGGAGGCGAGGGGACACCACGAGTGAGCAATTGTACAAAGTCAGGAGCACGCACGTGGGGGCCCTGGACGTGGGCCCTGACTTGAGTGCCGTAACAGTCTTGGAGTGTATAAATATGTCAAAGCTTATAAAACGGTGCACTCGAAGCTGTGCTGTTTATTACTGTAATCAATCACACCTCACGCTGATTTACAAATTAAAGCCCAGAGGAACATGCGGAATGACATCACGAGCATGCAATCCACAAAGTCCAGACTGTAAGAAATTATAGACAAATGATCTTGTTTCTTCAACTAATAAGTTCCAAGAAAAAAAGAAAGAAACACAGGGAACCTTCAGTTAAGTAGACCAAAGAGATCTACTGAGTAACAGCAATGGTCCTGATTTGGTTCTGATACAGACATCCAGTTAGAACCCTGAACACTGGGTATCTCATGACGTTAAGGAAGTATTTTTAATTTTTTAGTGTAATAATGATGTGGCTACGTGCTTTAGAGCCCCACTCAGAGATCCATAGTGAAATACTTGTGGATGAAATTACATGACGTCTGAAACTGACTTCGGAATTATGGAGGCGGGGACACAGACCACACTCTAGGAGCCAGGGGCTGACAGCTGTCGAGGCTGAGCAGTGGCTGCGTGGGCTTCATCACACCTGTGTTCCTCCACCTGGTTTTTCCTGACCTGCCCCTAAGAGCCTTTTTAGACATTATTTTGAACTTTCAGTGTCAAGGATACACTGTGTATCAAGGACACGCTGTGCATCTGTGGACTGTGGCCCTTTGGACTAGCAGGACCATTCTAACAGTTAAGATACATTCACCCTTCCCCCCCAAAACCAAGTTTCGCCACCTCTTGACCCCTCTCCCTAACCCGGTTGAGAATGTGTGCATTACACTATTACACGTACCTATTGTATGTCTTTAAGTTTCTGTTCAAATGTTTTCCAATAACTTAATTTTTAAAGGAATCAAAATAAGAAGTATAATTGTTCACGTGACAAGACAATGGCTAGGGGAAAATCTACACAACCAGCTTCTAAGCCACCCAGAACCAGGACTCAAATATCAAGGGGAGTAGTCTGTCGCTAAGAAGCTTGTGATGGCACGTAAACCACCGAGATCTCGGGCTCCCAGGCCTGGAGGGCCCGCGGGTGGGGTGGGCACCAGGGAAGAACCCACCCGCTGCCAGGCCCAGAGTCCTGCTCGCCTCTCCTCTATTCCCCTCCTAACTGCTCGCCTCATCCCAAAACTGGCTTACTTGTCGGATGCTCATTTGGAAGCTACCCTATTTTGCCATGTATAATACACACGTTTTTGCCCAAATTTTTGAGGGAAAAATAAGGATGTATGTTATACATGGGTACAATGATTATACAGCATGACTGTAATAATCCCATGTAGAATGCACACAAAACTGTGGGTGCACACTATACACAGCAAAATACAGTACGTGCTTCCTCTCACCCAGTGGGAAAGAGAAACTCCGTCCCAGCATTTAGTAAAAGGCCTCTACTCATCCCGATGGACCAGCTTTGGTTCTGCCCATCTCCGGCCATTTCTGCAGTGGGGAACGGAACATGCTGAGTGGCCTGGCCCAGGCCAAGTGGTCCCCTGTGGGCCAGGGAGCTGCAGGGTGGCGGTATTTCCAGGGTACTGGAGCTCCCTAAACAGAAACCAGGGCTTTGGGAAGGGGCAGGGGACTGTCCTTTTCTCCTTTGCTTCCGTCTGCACGTCAGTTTAATTTTTCAAGTCCACGTCTCGGTAAGGTGGAGAATGTCAGATGATCACTGCTATGCTCAGGGGCAAATAGGGCTGTCAGCTCCAGTTTTCAAAAATCCCAGGACAGGACGTGACTGGCCTGGTCTGGGTCACGTGCTCATGCCGGGCCCAGTCCCTGTGGCCAGCGCGATGGAATACACGCCTGGCATAGCTGGGTCAAACGCCCGCCCCTGCCAGGGACGGTGCTGGGGCGCAGCTCCCGTGGGCTGGATGAGGTAACAGGAATCCCGTCCCCGACATTTACAAGGCAGGGCTGTCGTGAGGGGTGTGTCTTCAATAGCTTTTTTCCTTTCCCAGCCCTCTACCCGCACCATGCCCTCCAGCTCCAAATTTGCGGAACTGAAGAGCATACCCTGAAAACAAAAACGAAACAGAACAAAACAAAACCAAAAGCCCTTAGGTGACTTCTGTCTGAGCAGGCTCAGGCTCCCCACACACACCTCACTCATTTGAAATAAGTATCAAAGCAGACGAAGCCTGAGCGAGCTGTCAGGTCCCTGAGACTCAGAGTCCTCACTGTTGTGGCAGAGTTAGCAAAAATCCCTGCATCGTTGGAAAGTAGCGGTGATGTGAAAGAAATGGCATACAGTGGGCGCTTCATAAATGGTAACTCTTACGCTCAATTCCAGTGCGTGCTTTAAAAAAAAAACAGTCTAAAATGAATCTTACTTTAAAGAAATTCTCCAAGAACATGTCAAAGCCTCCCATGGCTAGGAAGGGACCACGTCGCCTTCATCGCAGAGAACACCTGTCCCCAGCCTGTCACCCACCAGGCGCCCACCTGCAACACTGCACACCCGGCCGAGCCCCTCCACCCGGTTTCTCAGAACTCAGCTCTGCGCCTTCGCCCGCCACCACCCCCCTCCCCACCTCCAGGCATCTGTGCTTCCCACCCTGCAAGCTGTCTCCCTCACACCTCACCTACTCACGGCTTCATTATTTGATTTCCTCGTCTTTCTCACTCAGAGGACAGGAGTGGGGACGATCACACATAGCTGGAGAGCGGTGGAGGGGTGGAGAGCTGGCTTCGCCTACGGCCCCCACCTTAGAACACTCCTGTACTTCGGTCTCTCCCCTCTGACCCAGCTGCCTGGGGCGATCCAGCTAAAATGCCCACTGACCTAAATTCCTTCCTGCTGAAAACCCCACAATGGTTTCCAAATGCTTAGAAGGTGACATTCTGGCTCCAGTTGTGGTATTCAAGGTCCTTTTGAAAGAGCCATTGACACCCTGTCCTAACTGCTAGCCGGCCTTGAAGGAGTCATCAAACTGAATTTTTCTTTCTCCCAAACCACCAGGCATTCTCGTGCCTTTGCCCCTGTTTTTCCCTCAGTCTAGAAGGTTTTCCCGTCTACCCCACTGGGAACTCCTGCCCAAGATGCAGCTCTTACTGTCAAACTCAGAATGAAGCCTTCTCAGAGTAATCGGCAGAAGTGCAGGTCCCCTTTCGTGCCCAACCTGAGCCCTTCCTAGGTCCCTCAGAGGCGGCTTTTTCTGTCTTCCCAGCCCCGGTAGACGTGAAAGCCTGAAGAGTGAAGATTGTTTGACCACTAGCACCAGCCTAGGACGTGGGGCCTTATAATACATGATGACCAGATGAATGGTTAAGAGCATTAGCAATGATGTATTCATGAAAGGGTGGAGGGAAGTAGGCTGATGGGAAGATGAACAGATGATGGATGGATGGATGGATGGATGATGAACCATGAACACTTCAAAGGCAAAGACGGCTTCTTATCCACGCTCTGTAAAATGGGTAGGTGAAATCCAATGATTTCTCGTCTTTTCCAAACAGGCTTATGTTCCCTAATTTGAAGCAGCCCAAATCTAAGATAAGGCTGTGGGCTGGGGGAGGGGCTCCATTTGAGCAAATGTGTGTTTACTTACAACTTGTCCTAATGCAAAGCTGATCCCAGATCTCTGCCAATGAAGGGGGAGGAGTTAATACACTCCAGATGAGGTTCTGTTCAAACCGTCTGGCTGAAAGCCTCCTGGTGGAAATGAAATACAAGCTGATAGTAGAGCCGGAGGGGTAATTAGAGTGAAACTCGAACCTCTGCGAGGCTGTACCCACCCTGAGCTGACAGGAGAGAGAGAAAGGCCAGGACACACAGAGCCTTCCCAGGGCCGCTGGCTGCTGGCCAAAGGCACCCGGTGTCCAGAACAGCTGTCTGTCCGAGGCAGCACGTGGTCTGTCCTGCCCGAGCCACACCTGGACCTTGGCACACCCTCAGAACAATGGCTGTACTGAGAACACAGCTGTCATCAGTCACAGACTGGTACGTGCCAGGCACTGTCTACACATCACCTCACCACATCTCCCAGCAACCACCGGGAGGCAGGAGTGGTCACCTGCGCTTCACACAGGAGGACAACGCAGCCAGTTAAGTGTCAGACTGGGGAGCTGAACCTGGAGGACTCTGGCTGCTGGTCTGTGGCCCACTGCCCTGAACTGGCCAGGGAACAACCCAGAGACTGGACTTCATGCCACACCGAACTGCAGTGGCTCTGCAGCTGCCCGCCCGACCCTTTGCAAGGTGCTCTCTCCCTGAGTCAAGCCCGCGATGCTGGGCTGTCGCTCCTATTTCATAGATGGGACACTGGGACCAGACTGACCAGTGAAATGGCCACACGACGATGGAACTGAGACTCCATCCCTGGGAACTGGAGCCCCAAGCCAGGGCTCTTCACTGTCGGATTACTCTGCTCCCATGTCGTAGTGACAGCGGACATCGGTGGGGTTCGCCTAAACATCTATTCTTCCTTCCTCTGCTGACAGCCTCCGAATTCTCTTAGGTGGGTCACACCCACCACTTCAGTCCTCATTTGGGCAGAGCTGACATGCCCTGTTCTCCCCCCTGCCTTTGCAGGGTAGGCAGATGATCCGC